AAGAAAAAAGAAAGAAGAAGAAAGAGAAAAGAAAGAAAGAGAAAGAGAGAGAAAAAGAAAAGACCCCTAAACTGATGCTTTTGGATTTCTTTACCAGGTATTGGGAGGCGGAAAGTTAGCCAACTTAATTGATTACTAAAAATAAGCACATCTACGCTCACGGGTATCCATAGGGCCCGGGGCACAACCAACTCACAACAGAACCCCAGACTTGGTGTGGAAGAGTCTGGAAGCTCCCTGCCTCTGCCAGGAGTTAACCCTGGATTGGTGGATTGAAGGGAGATTGGAATGTTCTTGGGAAGGGGCTGAGTGGCAGGAGCAGCTGGAGGTACTATTGTGTGTAGTTGATTTGTTTTTTCATTGTTAGCATTCCTCCTTTCTTTCTCTCTTTCTTTCTTTCTTCTTCTTCCTTCTTCTTTCTTCTTTCTCCTCTTTTCTTCTCTCTCGTTTCTTTCTTCTTTCTTCTTCCTTCTTCTTCCTGATCTTCTTCCCTTCTTCTTCTTCCTTCTCCTTCTTCCTCCTTCCTTCCTTCTTCCTTCCCTTCCTTCCTTCCTTCTCCTTTCTTTCCTTCTTTCTTTCTTTTGAGATGGAGTTTCACTCTTGTTGCCCAGGCTGGTAATGCAATGGCAGACCTCAGCTCACCGCAACTCCACCTGCCCAAGGTTCAAGCGCATTCTGCTGACCTCCACCTCCCCAAGTACTGGGTTACAGGCGCCCGCCACCACGCTGGGCTAATTTTTTGCTATTGTTAGTAGAGGACGTGGGTTTATCCATGTTGGTCAGGCCTGTGGTCCGAATCCCTACCTCAGGTAATCCACCTGCCTTGGCCTCCCAAAGTGCTGGATTACAGGTGTGGAGGCACCGTGCCCGGCCCACTGTTAGCATTTCTACACTAGGCCTTCCAGCCGTTGCCTCTGACGGGTTGTCGTCCTGTCGCTCCTGTCTCATCTGTCTGTCTGTCTGTTCTCATCTCCTGGCTTCCTCATCTGTTTGGCAGAAACCAGATGACCACACTTCTTAGAATTACATGTACAAGAAGAATGGAGAGAGCTAAGCCAACAGCCCAGAGGCTGTCCTCTACCTAAAGTACACACACTCTGACATGCCTTCGGCATTTCGATGCTACACTCACAGATTTCTATTTCCTTTCTGACTTTCAGCTATATCCATATAAATGGAGCATCAACATGAGTAAGTCATTGTGTGAACTAACCCACTTGCAGAATATCCAGCCACAGTCAGGTCCAACTCCACGGGGGTACCCTTGCTTTCTCTCACTAGCCTTCTGGTGATGAATTTCGCAGTCTTAGAGAGCATCTCCAGCCTCACACATCGTCCTGGAATTCAGCACCTGTCGGGTAGGGGTGTCTCCCCACAGGCATCTCCTCCTGTGTCTCAATCCTCTTCCCCACTGGGTACCAGTAACCCACATCCAAAAACAATCAGACCAAAACCCTAGTGGAAATCCTCTTTTCTATCATTAATTTAGGTATAGCAAAATAGGAACCAAATACCTAAAAATATTTACAGCTCAGCCTGCCATCAACATCCTGTGCCCCTTCTCTGTGCAAACTCACCGTCCTCCTGCCACGAGAATTGGATGTTCTGTTTGTATCTCCTGCTGGCACTACCTTCTACTTCCTAGAGTAGACCAGAGTCTTGTTTATATCTCTTCAGCATGCTCCACCCCTAGTTTACATCTGCAAGGCAGGTTCGTATGTCTTTCAGCTCCACCCTTCCCTGGTCAATAAGCAGGTCAAATCTACCCTTCCTGGTCAAATCCATAATGAGTCCTCACCCTCCCCTCATGCCTAAGGGACCCATTAGGCAAGCAGAGGACTATATTGGTTTTCTGCTGCTGTAACAAATTGCCAAAAACTCAGTGCTTAAAGCAACACAAGTTCATTCTCTTACAAATCTAAAGGTCAGAAATTCAGAATCAGTTTCATTGGGCTACAGTCAAGGTGTGGGCAGAACTGGCTCCTTCAGAGGTTCTGAGGGGACCATCTGGTTCCCTTGCATTTTTCAGCTTCTAGTGGCCACCTGCATTCCTTGGCTCATGGTCTCTTCCTTCAATCACTCCAATCTCTTGCTTCCTTTGTAGTTTTCTTAGTCCTTAGTGCAGCTAGGTCTGAGTTCTTGCTCTACGACCAAGAAGAATAAGGCACACAGACAGTGGAGAGGGAGTAGAATAGAACAGGATTTATTAAACAAAAGGAAAACTCTCAGCAAAGAGAGGGGTCCTGAAAGTGAGGCAGAAATTTAAAAATAATATTAATAATAAGTACTACACTTATTCACTCCAAGAAAAGCAAAAGCTAAGGCCCAGAATGTGGCAAGGCAAGGTTTCAAAAGAAAAAGAAAAGAACAAGTTTTCCTCTGCCTAGCAAGCTCATTTCAAGGACAGTTATAATGCTGTTGAAATAGCCAAGGCTAAAGGAATGGGCTCCAGACACTCCCCCGCTTCTAGAGCAAGGTTGAAGAAAAAAAAAAAAGAGAGACAGAAAGGTTCTTTTACTGTTACTCTTTTCTCAGGCTTCTTAAGCATTATTATGTATTACAAATGTCTGTATTTAGCCAGTTCTTGTTTTTCTTTCAATGCTGCTACAAGGCCACCAGCTATGCAAGGTCACAAGTTATGTTATGCTATAGATTACGTGATCTGCCACCATATCATTAACTGCTTTTGTTTTGCTTCTCTAAGGCCACTTATAAAAAACCCCGCTCTGTCTTTGTTCAATGCTCAGCTTTTTGGATGTGAGCCAGTGCATACCTAAAATAAACAATCCTCCGGTCTCTCTCCTATTGGTCTCTCCGTTCCTCAGTTTACTGCAACAAAAGCAGGTTGCCAGAAACAGGACTGAGTTCTGTGTCTTTTATGCCGCAACAGCCAGGAAGTCTTCCGTGGGCTTTGCTCCAATGGGAGGGGTAAAATTCCCTCCTAGGAGTGTTGCATCTACCTATGCCTGGGGTTGGCCAGAGTGACTCCATCCTGGTTATTATCCATGAGTGCCTAAACAAAACCCACAGGGGGGCTAAAACTACAATGCTAATGTTATGTTAATGACATTATAATGAGCTGGGTTAAGTGAAGGACATTTGGGTTGATTTATTGCACCTGCGCCTTAGTTGGGACAGTCACTTTTGAGCAACATCCTGGCACAAGGGGAAATTGTTAACCACATTTCTTCCCCTCAGCTGTTCTTCAGTTCTTCCTGTGAACATTGTCTCTCTCCGTCCTTCTCCAGAGACCCTCCCTCTCTATCTGCCTAACCAGCCCCTAACTGCCCCCTCCCTCACTTCCTCCTTTGGTCTTCTTGACCTCCCTCGTATTACAGTCCTTGTGATTACATTTACGGTTTACCCAGATAATCCAGGATGATCTCGTCTCCAGAGCCTTAACTTAATCACATCTGCAAGTCCCCTTTGCCCTGTAATGTTACGTACACAGGTTCCGGGCGATTAGGATGTGGACATTTTTGGGGGTCATTATTCAGCCTGCCACAAAGATATTGGGAATTACCAAGATAAATTAAACCATGAGTTGCTGAAAATTGGATTTAGACTTCAGAGAACGAAGTAATAACCCAGCAATATCATGAAATATACCAGGAATGAAGAGGGTCATAGAGGAGCCAAATGAACAAGGGTTAGCCTGTCCAGAGAATGTACTATTGCCAGGAACTTTTCTGAGCTCTTTTTTATTTTATTTTATTTATTTATTTTTTTGAGACAGAGTTTCACTCTGTTGCCCAGGCTGGAGTGCAGTGGCGAGATCTCGGCTCACTGCAAGCTCCGCCTCCCGGGATCACACCATCCTCCTGCCTCAGCCTCCCAAGTAGCTGGGACTACAGGCAGCCGCCACTGCGCCTGGCGAATTTTTTGTATTTTTTAATAGAGACAGGGTTTCACCATGTTAGCCAGGATGGTCTCAACCTCCTGACCTCGTGATCCACCAGCCTCGGCCTCCCAAAGCGCTGAGATTACACGCGTGAGCCACCGCGCCCGGCCTTTCTGAGCTCTTAATGGTCACAGTGATATGACCAGAGTCAGCTGACCAGACTGGAAAAGTCCTGGTAACCTGCACAACAGTAAAGAGAGAAGCAGGATCAAAGACCCAATGTGAGCCTGGCTCAGTGGCTCATGCCTGTAATCCTACCACTTCGGGATACTGAGGTGGGTGGATCACTTGAGCTCAGGAGTTAAAGAGCAGCCTGGGCAACATGGTGAAAACCCATCTCTACAAAAAATACAAAAATTAGCCAGGTGGGGCTGGGCGCGGTGGCTCACACCTGTAATCCCAGCACTCTGAGAGGCCGAGGCGGGCGGATAATGAGATCAGGAGTTCAAGACCAGCCTGGCCAATATGGTGAAAACCTATCTCTACTAAAAATACAAAACTTAGCTGGGCGTGGTGGTACGCACCTGTAGTCCCATCTACTCGGGAGGCTGAGGCAGAAGAATCACTTGAACCCAGGAGTTGGAGGTTGCAGTGAGCCAAGATCACCACCACTGCACTCTAACCTGGGTGACAGAGCAAGACTCCGTCTCAAAAAAACAACCAACCAAACAAACAAACAAAACTAGCCAGGTGTGGTGGTTTGCACCTGTAGTCCCAGCTACTTGTGGGGCTGAGGTGGGAGAATCGCTTGAGCCCAGGAGGCAGAGGTTGCAGTGAGCTAAGATCACGCCACTGCACTCTAGCGTGGGCACCAGAGTGAGACCTTGACTCAAAAAAAAAAAAAAAGAAAAAAAAGAAAGACCCAATGTGGTCAGCCTGCCGGGAGCTAGTGGGACCAGCACTCCTTGAATGTGGCCTCCCTCACCCAAGATACAAGAGTCAACTTTTGGCTGAATCACAGTTTGGCATGTAGAGGGAAGCTCCGCATCAGAAATATACAGTCTTGTGGCCGGGCGCGGTGGCTCAGGCCTATAATCCCAGCACTTTGGGAGGTCGAGGCAGGCGAATCACCTGAGGTCAGGAGTTCAAGACCAGCCTGGCCAACGTGGTGAAACCCCGTTTCTACTGAAAATACAAAAATTAGCCAGGTATGCGCCTGTAATCCCGGCTACTCGGGAGGCTGAGGCAGTAGAATCGCTGGAACCTGGGAGGCAGAGGTTGCAGTAAGCCAAGATCATACCACTACACTCCAGCCTGGGCAACAGAGTGAGACTCCGTCTCAAGAAAAAATACAGTCTTTTACTTAGTGCCCACACAAACTTCTACCATATTTTTTTCTTTTATTTATTTATTTATTTATTTTGGGGACAGAGCCTTGCACTGTCACCAGGGCTGGAGTGTAGTAGTGTGATCTTGGCTCACTGCAACCTCCACCTCCCGGTTCAAGCGACTCTCCTGCCTCAGCCTCCCAAATGACTGGGATTACAGGCACTCGCCACCACGCCGGGCTAATTTTTTGTATTTTTAGTAGAGACGCGATTTCACTATGTTTGCGAGGCTGGTCTCGAACTCCTGACCTCGTGATCCGCCTGCCTCAGTCTCCCAAAGTGCTGGAATTACAGACATGAGCCACTGTGCCTGGTCCCATACTTTTTTTTCTTAGAGACAGAGTCTTCCTCTATCAACCACGCTGGAGTACAGTGGTGCAATCAAAGCTCACTGCAGCCTCAAAATCTCAAGTTGAAGTGATCCTCCTGCCTCAGCCTCCCAAGTAGCTGGAACTGCAGGTTTGCACCACCATCCCCAACTAATTTTTAATTGTTTGTAGAAATGGGGTCTCACTATGCTACCCAGTCTAGTTCCAAACTCCTGAGATCAAGTGATCATCCTGCCTTGGCCTCCCAAAGTGCTGGGATTACAGGCCTGAGCCACTGCACCCAGCAAACTTTCACTATATTGATCTAAAAATAAAAAAGATGTAACAGGGAGAGAGACTCTGTCTCAAAAAAAAAAAAAAAAAAAAAAGAGTCAATATACAAAATACAATTGTATTTCTATAAAACGGCAACAATTAGAAAATGAAATGTAAAGTTTTTTAATTTTAAAAATTATACCACTACAAGAACTCTGTATGGTCTTTGTAACTTTTCTGTAAATCTAAAACTATACTAAAATTAAGTCTCTCTTTAAAAACTTCTACCATTTTACAATGGCATCAGAAAATATCAGATGCCCATGAATAACTAATAAAAGATTATTATTATTTTAGGGTCTCACTCTATCACCCAGGCTGGAGTACAGCGGTATGATCTTGGCTCACTGCAGCCTCTACTTCCTCAGCTCAAGCAATCCTCAGCCTCCTGAGAAGCTGGGATTATGGTCATGCATCACCACACCCAGCTAATTTTTTGGCATTTTTTGTACAAATGGGTTTTTGTAATGTGGCTCAGACTGGTCTGGAACTTCTGCGCTCAAGTGATCTGCCTGTCTTAGCCTCCCAAAGTGTGAAATTACAGGTGCGAGCCACCACACCTGGCCAAAGATTATTGAGAGAAATTCAATACCTGAATAAATGAGGAAATTGGCAACAATTTTTTTCTTCAGTCTCTGTGCTACTAAAGAATTTCTTTTTTTTTT